TTTTTTTTTTTTTTTTTTTTTTTTTTTTTTTTTTTTTTTTTTTTTTTTTTTTTTTTTCACGAAATCGAGTCAATGGTAAATCTCAAGGTTTCACTGCTAGTGAGCACCGAGTGTCAGCATAACGAGTTTCGTAGGAAAATCGAGCGCGGGAATACGTTCGCCAAGGCTTCTCGTGTAAAATGAGAATGCGAACGATGACATATACCTATCTTTCGAAAATAATAAATAAACGACTTGGCTGTCAAGCTGAGGACTTGGGGTCAGTGCACTGATTGCTCGAGTAGCTTATCATATCCTTGAATGTAATGAATTCGCGATCGATACGTATACGTACGCAGCAACCCTGTATATATATCATCGCTGAATCAGAAAAAGAAAAACAAAAAAAATAAGTGTACAAAATCACCCCTGTCGCAGCACGAGGAAAAATCTAAATAATTTATTTGCCCCGTTATTCCAAAAGATCGATATGCACCCTCGACGGAACAATATTATCTCCCATCTTCGGGACCCAATTTTTCCGTTTGGTCGATCGAGGGTTCTACTTTTTTCTTTTTCCTACATATTACCGAGGAATTTTCTATTATTCCGATCGGCGAGCTATCCCTGCGTATCGCAAAATCTTGCCACTACCGATCCACTACCGATTTCTCGACCGATCAACGGTTTATCGTTGCGCACATGTACCTATATATATATATATATATGTGTGTGTGTATACGAGCTCATCAGACATATACGCGCTTGAATTTCCATCTCTCGAGAGGGTCGGGACATCCTCTCGAGAACGCAAGTAGAAGACAAAGGTACCTTCGTCCATTGTCTCATATCGCGTAAAAATATCCACTCCTATGAATGTGTTGTACACTGAAAAAAAAAAAAAGTATATTGCAACGAATTAGCATGAGCATACGTTTACCCGCAAACAGGATAAAACGACGTCCGTCGACTTTAATTAGGGCGCATCAGCTCTCAAGTGCGTTCTTAGCGTGACCCCTGAAAATAGTCCCCACCACCGTACGAAAGCTCATTAAACTTAATAGTCCATAAAGGCAAAAACAAAAAAAAAGGGGGGGGGGCGCAAATGCACTCGCCGTCATTACCATCGTTTACGTATGCAAAAAACGCAAGAGCCGATGAAAAAAGAGGAGAAGAATATCGGCCGCACGCGCATGAAATCTCCGTCGCGACGACGCCGCCGAGGAAACATCTTCCCCCGCGGAAGTGCGCCGAGAACCGTCCGAGGGTTTCGAAAAAAAGGCAGAAAATGAGGGGGGGGGGGAAAGGAAGAAGAAACATGTAAGTGCACCGCGCTAACGCGATGGGGGCCCAGGATGGGCGCCCAGATAATGGCCAACAAACAGTCCTTCCTTCCTGCACGGAGGGCGTCTCCGAGGCCTCCTTCCATCGTGCTCGTGCACGTTACATACGTAAAACGGACGCAAAGGGACGAGCCCCCCTTCCCACCCCCGTGTCCGGAATCGCCTCGCGGGAGAGTCTCGAGGGAGATAGCGGGGCGCCGATGCGCGCGATTTCCGTATGCAAAATCGAGCATGCACGACGAGCCTTACGTACACACCACGTACCGGACCGAGGATGGATTGCTCGGTATCACGCTCTCGATTTTTCCCCCTTTTTTGGGTGTGTGTGTGTGTATGTGCATACCGAATCATCCGCGCCCATAGCCGCGTCTGCTTTATTTACTTTTTTTTTGCTCTCTTCTTGTGTGTGTCTCCTTTGGGGAGTAATACGTTCGCGGTGGACCTGTATCTTCGGAAACAATCGGACGTTGTGTACGACGGAGCTGAGCTTCGGGGAGAAAAGTTTATTATGCCCCCGCGTGGGCTTGTTCACGATTTGCTCAAAACGATCGGATTTCCGTGATTGCGAAGTACATTGCTTTTTTTTTTTTTTTTTTTTCCAAAAGCCTGCCTTCGTCGCAGTCCATCGGGTTTTGTATAAAATGTTCACGTTTGATGTAAATTAAAAAAAAAAAAACATACCCTATGTCGTCGATCGAAGGTGTGATGGCTATCTAGTGGTCTTTGGACTCCGTTTGGGTATTGTTGGAGCTTGACAAAAACCATTTATGTAAATCAAGTTGAAAATCTAATTTTTATTTACGTACATGTATCCGGAAGAAGACGTGCCCCCAGAAATTTGTATATACATATACATCTGTTGCGTCACTTTAGTCTCTCTTCCAAAGACTCTTTTCGGGATCGAAAAAAAAAAAAAAAAAAAAAACCTAATCTCGTACGTTTATGGTCGAGTAAGACTCTGGAAAAATCCAAAAATCCCCGCACACACGTATAGGTACGTACATTATCTCGAGTCCTGACGTCATACATACATACACACATCCCTCCCGTGATGAAACTTTAATTAAAACATACGTATAACCTACGCGTGCACTCGTCCCGTATAACACTCCTCGTGTGTCCCTCTCTCGCTTAAATTAATTAATCCTAGCAGCCAAGCCGGTCATAATCTCGCAGCTGAAGGATACGGGGAGCAGGAGGAGGAGAGATTTAAAAGGGCGTTTTTAATATCGCACGTGGAGGTAGACAGCCGGACGGTGGACGCACACGTGCACGAGCACGCGAGAGAGGCACAGGGAAGGAAAATCGAACTGATGGGTGATTTCATTATTTCACGCGATGGATCTTCCCTTGCGTAACGGGACGCGACGATTTTTTCCTGTATACCCCCCCCCCTTTTTTTTGTCGCGTCAGCGAGATGTTTGGTTTAATTGAACGTAAAGCGAGAAAAGGATGCACGTGCGATAGGACTATAGGCTGTTGAGGAGAGGAAAAAAAAAGAGGACAAGCAACAGCGGGCTAATATCTTTATTCTTGTTAAAATAAAAATGAGAGGCGCGCATTATTATGTGCAGTATGGGTCGTCGTGTACGTGCACACGTGAGCTGCAAGTGTACACATACGCGGACAGAGTGGAGGTGTCGGGCCGGGCCCAATTAAAACGGTTTTCAGGATGCAACGCGATCGGCACCGATTTTTTCTCACTTTTCCGCCGGCGCCTACCCGGAGCCACTGGTTAATATATTTTTTTTCTCTCTCTCTCTCTCGCTTGGTTTCTGGATTTTTCTCACCAATGGGCGCCTGCTTGTTTGTTCTTCTTTTTGCATTGTGTACGTGGCTTATCGTGCATGGGCTCTCGACAAGCGAGCTCATTAGAGCCGAATCGTATGCACGTGGCGTGGTGTGGGCTGGTTATTTTCTTTTGTCCGCGCGTGTGTGCAGCTTATGCTCACGGCTTGAAAATGGAAAATAATTTTATCTGGTCGTGACTATATAAACGAATTTTTCTTTTGCACTCGACGGTGTAATTACCTCTCGGAAGTGTAGCTTTTGTTTCTACGTTACGTTGCCTAACTGTAATTTATCGAATCTCGATTTCTGGGGGCGCGTGTCTGACTGCGAGGTGCTTACTCTACTGACGCTCTGACCGTGTGTTCATCTGTACTTTTCCGCGATAATGAAGAAAGAAAAAAAGACGATTTATCGATGAAACACGAGGACACCTTTGGATGATAAAAGGAGAAAAAAACATTATTCTCATCACAAAGTTGATCAACTGCTTTCAAAGTTATAGATGTATTTTTTGTTATGATTTCCAGTAAAAGAAAGTAATTATCACCACGAGCAGTAACTTTTCTTCTTATTTATCAGATCCGCTCTTCCAGAGCTCAAGATTATCCAACAACGGGAAGAGGAAAAAATAAAGTACGCGAAATCCGATCGCACTCGAGAACTCGTTGCTTTAGAAACACCAAACCCACACCGCATTCGTAACTTGCACGCACTATTGCGCTCATTGTGTCACAATAATTTTCTCTTTGCGGTCAAAGTAATTGTACGCAGATTTTCCCGTTGAATTTCATTCGCACACGTATCCTGTGATTCACTTTCGCATGCAAACGTGGACATTTTCCTATCACACGAATCGTCAAAAATACCTAATCCATTAGACACAGATTTAACACTAATGAGAAACATTACAAGGCAAAGCCTATGTATAGCCTAAAAATACGGTCGAGGCATCCTAGTCTACCGTCTTCACGCTCGAGCAGAGCTATTACAAAACGCTCGTAACGAGGGGCATAAAACCATCGATAAAAACTTATTAGGCACATTCATTGGGGAACCTTGACTCGAACGGAGTGTTAAAGAAAGGATCGATCGGTCGCATACACAATAGACAGAAATTGAGCAACACCCACGTAGACCTACATTATATAGTAGTAAAAAAAAAAAAAAAAAAAAAATTATATACGTAGAGCTGTCAAGTTCACTCACCGTCGGGATTGTGAAAGTAGGCCCAAGTGGGGGTGCCGGCCGCCGCGGTCTGGAGCACGCAGGCGAGCCCACCGAGGATCAGCGCGTACACGGACGCTCGGGCCGCGAGCGAGCGCCTCTCGTTCCGCCTCGGGTCCGCGTCCGCGAAGCTCACGACTCCCCGCACGCTCTGCGGACGGCCGGCCTCGGCCATCCCGACCAGCTCATACACCCCACCAAACTCCCTTTATTTTTTCCTTTTTCCTCTCCGCTACGCGCCCAACACTCGATTCACTGTCGCACCACTCGGCATTTAATTACTTACTCCCTCGATCAAGTATCACCACCTCACTGCGCGCCGGGCCACTCCGGTGTCCCGCATTTTTTCCACGGCACTTTTTTTTTTTTTTTTTTTTATCACCGGCACTGCGGATTCTTGGACCGGCACTCGTTGCGGATATTTCCCTTCGATCGTGTGTCGTATACCGTCAATCCGGACGGTCACGCGCGCCCGCACAGGAATTTCTCCGGTCCCCTTGGTCCTCTACGTCTCCCGGCGGGAGGAGGAGTCCCACGTTTTTCGTCCCATACTCCTCTTTGGCTCCGCGAACGGTACGTCCCGTCGATGGCGTAATGTGCGCTGGATAAAACCAGGAAGAGAAGAAGTGGGGGGGGGGGATTTTGGTCAACGGGGAACCGGTTTTCGCCAGTCAACAAGAGGAAGGAGGAGGAGGAGAAGGAAGAGGAGACGCGCTACGCTAAAAATACCCGGGGCCCTTCTTCCTTCTTCCTCCCTCGTTCTCCGTCCATTTTCTCGTTTTGGTATGGCTTGGTTGGTGACCTCCTTCGGCGAGCACTATACTCGGTGGCTTTGGTCGACCTCTGCAAGCAAAATAAAAAATCAAACAAAAACAAAAATGACGTGATTTTAGTCGCACGGGGATCGTGGTTTCGTTGCGCCTCTCGTGACGTGGAGCGGGAGACGGAAAGGCAAGCGCTCGCTCGCCGGGGAAGACAGTGAAAGTACACACATAGTACCAAAGTCCGTGCATGCTGTACACCTCAATGGAGTTCAAATCGCCTGTACCTTTGCGCCCGAGAATAATGAACAATGAATTCCTCTCGCGATGGATGATGATGCTTTTCTGTGCTGTAACGCGTGTCGGACTGATTTTCTTTTCGATGATACGCGGTGTAACGTGTTGGAAAAAAAAAAAAAAAAAAGGAGAAAAATGTCTTCCAGAGTGGATTTTTTTTTTTCATTGTTCTGTGAAAGTGTACATCGTAGCGTTAGGTAATGTGCTGGCTGAAATTGTTATGACGATGATGATATACACAACTTCATTATAGTCGCGGTTGGACGAGCTGAAATTGAAACAATGCACGGAGGAAAAAGGAAAATAACGTTCGCTGAGCTACCTCTATGCGCTGAGTGGAAATGATGGAGTTTTTTTTTTTTTTCAACTCTAAGAGACTAGTTGAATGATTTATAGTTTTTTTTTTTTTTTTTTTTTTTTTTTCACGAAATCGAGTCAATGGTAAATCTCAAGGTTTCACTGCTAGTGAGCACCGAGTGTCAGCATAACGAGTTTCGTAGGAAAATCGAGCGCGGGAATACGTTCGCCAAGGCTTCTCGTGTAAAATGAGAATGCGAACGATGACATATACCTATCTTTCGAAAATAATAAATAAACGACTTGGCTGTCAAGCTGAGGACTTGGGGTCAGTGCACTGATTGCTCGAGTAGCTTATCATATCCTTGAATGTAATGAATTCGCGATCGATACGTATACGTACGCAGCAACCCTGTATATATATCATCGCTGAATCAGAAAAAGAAAAACAAAAAAAATAAGTGTACAAAATCACCCCTGTCGCAGCACGAGGAAAAATCTAAATAATTTATTTGCCCCGTTATTCCAAAAGATCGATATGCACCCTCGACGGAACAATATTATCTCCCATCTTCGGGACCCAATTTTTCCGTTTGGTCGATCGAGGGTTCTACTTTTTTCTTTTTCCTACATATTACCGAGGAATTTTCTATTATTCCGATCGGCGAGCTATCCCTGCGTATCGCAAAATCTTGCCACTACCGATCCACTACCGATTTCTCGACCGATCAACGGTTTATCGTTGCGCACATGTACCTATATATATATATATATATGTATGCACTTATTAACACGCGAAAACACATACAAGAGCAACCGGTCCACGGGACCGATATACGTTACCGATCTCTGCTGTCGCGCGCGCTAAATGAACAACAACAACAACAACAAATGTTCAACACAAGTAACTTGGCACTTGCTATACTACACCCCCTCGTGCGCTACAGTATATACGTGGTGTGGGGTTGACGTGCAAGGGAACAAAAGGCCCTCGCCAGAGCGGTAGACGCACGCGAGGAGTGTCCCGCCGATCGATACACCATATACGTATACCCACGGGGCGTCCCTAACCTCTTTACTCCTTCGCGTCTCCTCTCTCTCTTCGTCGTTACGTATACGTACAATGTAATACAATCCAGCGGCAATGTTGAACATTCGAGCGGTGGTGTGTGTATATATTACATCTATACGTGTGTGGACTTTTGTACAGCAGCAGGTGGAACTCGCGCCCGCGTTCTCCACATTCAAATGCGTGTGTGTGTCTTTGTGTGCAAAAGAGAGATAGAAGTAACCTCCGGTGTATTTCGTAATCGGCACGCCGTGCGATTTCGACATACGCGCGCTCTACGAGCGGCTACCTATACGTATACTTACGCGGAGGAGGAAAAGTGGGGCCGTTATAAAAGCCCCCCCCCCCCACACACACACACACACACAATTTACTGTCGTACATCCACCTAATAGTCAAGTATATGCACGAGTTGTTGATCGCAATGGTGTTGCACTTTAACCGATAAGACCCAACGTTGCGCGTTGCACAGGGCACACCGATCTCTTACCGATCGATCGCGGATACAGCGTGTGTATACACACCGAAATTGGCACAGCCAGCAACTCTGTCGCGATCTTTGCCCCCGCGATGTTCTTGTGTGTACACTGTATGGCAAACAAAGTGGAGGCTCTCTCTCTCTCGCTGTCGAGCGCCTCGACGTTGTTGTTTCGAAAGCCGCGCTTCACTTTCGAGTAAGAAACTCCTCCTCTCTCGCGTGGATTTTTTATTCACCGCCACCTTCCGCTGCTGCGTAAAGTACACCTGAATAAAATACCTGCGCGCCAGCAGCTAACGTATACACACACGCGCGCGACACCACACCTTGCGGCTTATTTTTTACTCGTTGTTATTTCCTCGGTATGAATCAAAGATCGATAAAAAACAAACAGCCGCGCACGGACAGGGTTGGGGCACAAAAAACGAGGGGGTGGAAAATGGAAAACGATGCACGCATGTGTATACGTCAGGGGAAGGGGGGTCGTCGATCGGTAGGGAAAAATTAGAAAGAGAAAGGACGAAGGCTCGATGTAATCGCACGCACGTATATATATATGTAGTATCACCTGCAGCCAGTGTGGAGAACCGTCGGCCAAGTACGCGATTGTATACAACAATAATATTATGTGTACGTGACGGGAAAACGGGGCCTCCCCCGTCGGTGTGTGCTTGTACGTAATATTCCGTACACTTGGGAGTATGACGGTTGTCGACGGGCCTGCGCGTTGCGTCGCACTGACTTTGGCTCGGTGGGCTGCCGATGGCCGAGCCAATATCGCGCTCGTTGAAGAGAGAGCCCGTTCGTTCCCCACCGCGGTTCTCGCCGAGAGAGAGAGAGGAGGGTTTCGCGCACACATACCGCGGGTGTATCATATATATATATAGCGTTGGGGCCTCCCCACCTTTATATGCACACCCACCTCTTTATGCGATGTTGTTCTCTCTACCTGTGTGGGCATGGGTGTGTGTGAATTGTTGATCTGCTCTCTTATACCGTGCGGTTTCTCTCTCTTTTTTTTTTTTTTTCTTCGTGCCTTTTGCTCGCTCCTTCCTTGGGCTCTTTTATTCCTTCGAGCCTTTGGACGGACCCTTTTGTTTGTTTGTTGCTCCGTCCCGAAATGTGGAATTTTTTTTTTTTTTTTTTTTACTTACGAAAAGTCCGGGTTTTATATACGTATAAAATGGTAAGTCACATCAAAAGGTGGTGATGGATGCGTGGCGTTAATGAGGACGGTGTTGTTATTATCATCCATTTGTACGCATAGCCGTCCAATTCGATCAAACGGAATGTCAAAGCGAGGAGGATGAGGAAAGAAAACAGAGAGAACCCCCTGATAAATCATCGCTTCGGGTAAACACACCTTGAATCACCGCGACAATTCCCAAACGACGCACATCCTGGTATATGCATCAGTACATGTACATATGCGTATTTATTTTTATAGTTGATGGATGTGTACAAATATTAGTCGCAATTTTTTTTTTTTTTTTTTGATA